TAGGGCATAGACTCCTGTTCCAGAACCCAGAAGGCAATAACGTTCAGTAGCGCTCTACTCAAGTGCAAGAATGCCAAACAGCAGCATCAAACAGAATTGCAGCACCGCACACAATGGGATGGGATCGCACTCTGGGGGAAACAAAGGCAGCCTCTTGACGCCGGAAACATATCCCAGAACTGCCTCCAGTTGGCTGCCCTTGCCTAACTCATCCCATCCTTTTTACCCACAAGATGCGTTTGTATTACCAGTTAGCACCCAAATCTCTCTATAGGCTACGTCCAAAGGCAGAACCTTTGCTGTTCTGCAAAGGCCTTGCGGTTGCCTCAGGTCCAGCAGTTGCATCTTCTGGACCATCACCTGACCTAAGTTTTGTTGTTCTTGCTACTGATGATTGTCTTGAGATGACCAAGCGCAGCAGTGATTGACCCAAGGTAAGTCAAGGGGAGATTGCACAGCAGCGATAAAACAACGGAGACATTTGAGAGTTTCTCTGCAACTGAACATCGTCCGGGGTGGGCGGGTAGGGGGACATTCGTAGATCTCTCCTTAAATAATCCAGCATTCAACCAAAACTACCGCAGGCATAGGGACCTATCACTCTGCTGACAGCCTAATTTAGGCAACACCCTTTCCCAACGGTTCAGAAAACAGTGTTTTTGTGTTTTTTTAAAAAAAGCATATACGCTGGGTGTATCTGTCAAATGCTAAGATCGCTCTGACGCCCGTGAATCGTCTTCCAGGTTTCCTAGCTCATCAAGCTCCTTGTTGTTCTTTTTTCTAAAAAAAAAAATGTATTTCCATGCTGATGAGATTTCACCGAGTTCTGAAGTTCAGAGCTTAAGGGGAAGGTGCGTTGATCCAGCATCTGCCAGTAAGCAGAGGAGAGGATGGAGTCCTGAGGAAACGCTTCCAGGTGTCTTCAGCTCCCAGCTTTCTGTTCTACCGTTAACTTCCTTGCTAGCTCACTCCCCTTCATCTCAGAGTTTGTGGGTGTGGCGCTGAGGGTACCACTGTAGACATCTGAAAGAGGAATGCACAGGGCGTGGGTATCGGGGGTCTCACTGGTGGGAACATGCCTAGATACTGGCAGGTATTCTGCACGGGCATTCTCCACTGACTCAGCATTCAGAGCTAGCCACATCTAATCTTAGTTCCATCCCTTGCCACTGTTTGTTTATTTATTTATTCAATTGTTTTATCCCGCCCTCCTGGCCTGGGCCGGCTCAGGGTGGCTTTAAAAGGTAAAGGTAAAGGTTCCCTTGCTCGAAAGCCAGTCGAATCCGACTCTAGGGTTGCGGTGCTCATCTCCGTTTCAAGGCCGAAGAGCCAGCGCTGTCTGAAGACGTTTCTGTGGTCATGTGGCCGGCATGACTAAACACCAAGGCGCACGGAACGCTGTTACCTTCCCACCGAAGTGGTACCTATTTATCTACTTGCAATGTCTTGCTTTCGAACTGCTAGGTTGGCAGGAGCTGGAACTAGAGACGGGAGCTCACTCCGTCATGCGGCACTCGGGTCTCGAACTGCTGAACTAGTGACCTTCCACAGCCTGCAGTTCAGCGTCTTAGCCACTTCAGCCACCGCAGCTCAAGGGTGGCTTACAGGCAGATAAAATTCCAACGATACGTACAAAACACATCAACAATTAACATAAATGCAATATTAAAATGCCGTGTTAAAATCAGATATCATAATAAAGTGCTAGGCTCTCTAACATCAAAATCGGGGAGGGATGCCTTCCCCCACCCCTCCCCGATTTCTACTGTCTTGTTACCGTCCCTTCTCCATCTGCTGTTGTTCCTGTAACTGACAAAAGAACCCAAAAGCACATACAATTGCAGAGTGAAGACCTGTAAGGGACTGTTTGTCTGGTCTGAATTTTGGCATGATTAAAAGAAGTTTAGGATTTCAGAACTGGGGGGGGGGGGTTTCCGGGGGGGGGGGGGAGAGCGGCTGTTGCTCATAGAAATCTGACGCTGCTGCTGGTGGGCAATCTTGCTTCCCACCTGCTCTCCATTTTATATTTGCGAACAAATTGATTCCATAAAAATGCCACAGATCTCCAGTACTCTCTTCACAAGGAAAGCAGATCCCATAACGGTGTTTTGCAACGTCCGTCTGCTCAGGGATCAGGGGCATATCAGAGATCTAATTCTGATCAATGGCTCCAGAATGCGGATCAAAAAATCTACATATCAGGGCCATGGTCAGATTGGGTGTGTGTGTGTGGCATTCTTCTGCAATCCCTGGAAAACCCCTAGGTCTGCCAAAACATCTGCAAACTGTTTGTCAGCCAGAAGCTTCCTATAACCCCCCCAAAAAAAAAACTGGAGAAGAGACCACGGACTTTGTAACTGAAATGAAAACAAATGCTGAGATCTTGCAAGACCATGGTCAGCAGCATTACAATGGATATTTTTTTTGAAAAGCACTGAGTGGAAACAGCATCAGCAACAGGATGACGACACAGCAATGGCAGCAGGAGGAGGGAGGCAGTGAGGCAGGAAGAGGGAAGACCGAGGCAGCCACAACAACAGTGCTTGGAGCCATCGATGCCAATCAGCTGGGAGGCAAGGAAGAGAGAGGGAGAATAGAGGCAGGACCTGCGTCTTTCACGATTTCTGCTCCAAGCCTCTTATCACCACCATGGCTTGCCTGTTGATTGGTATGTGGTTGGTATGGGACATGGTTGCCCCTCCGTCCATCATAAGAACACAGTGGCCAAAACCCAGGTGTCCTCAGGAGGTCCACCAGCAGGGCCAGAACTCCAGAAGCCCTCCCATTCTTGTCCCCCCCAAGCACCAAGAATACAGAGCACCAGACAGAGTGTTCCATCTGTAAAGGTAAAGCTAAAGGTTCCCTTGCTCGAAAGCCAGTCGAATCCGACTCTAGGGTTGCGGTGCTCGTCTCCGTTTCAAAGCCGAAGAGCCAGCGCTGTCCGAAGACGTTCCCGTGGTCATGTGGCCGGCATGACTAAACGCCAAGGTGCACGGAACACTGTTCCCTTCCCACCGAAGTGGTACCTATTTATCTACTTGCAATTTCTTGCTTTCGAACTGCTAGGTTGGCAGGAGCTGGAACTAGAGACGGGAGCTCACTCCGTCATGCGGCACCCGGGTCTTGAACTGCTGAACTACCGACCTTCCACAGCCTGCAGTTCAGCATCTTAACCACTTGAGCCACCGCATCTATACCTTGTGGCTAATAGCCACTGAGGGACCTCTGCTCCACATGTTTATCCAGTCCCCTCTTGTAGCCACCACCACTTCTTGTTGCAGCGAATTCCACGTGTCAATGACTCTTCGGGTGAAGAAGGACTTCCTTTTATCTGTTCGACATCTACTGCTCTTTAATTTCATGGAGTGCCCACAAGTTTTTGTATTGTGAGAAAGGGAGAAAAGTTCTTCTTTCTCTGCCTTCTCTATCCCATGCATAATTTTGTAAACCTCGATCATGTCACCCCTCAGTTGTTGTTTCTCCAAGCTAAAGAGACCCAACCTCTTCAACCTTTCTTTAAAGGAAAGTGTTCCATCCCCTTAATCAGTTCAGTTGCCCTTTTCTGCACTTTTCCCAATGGTATAGTATCTTTCTTGAGGTGACCAGAACTGTACACAGTATACCAAATGAGGCCGCACCATCGATTTATACTGGGGCATTATGATACTGGCTGATTTGCTCTTTTTGTAGCAGGTACTCATTTGCATATTAAGCGACACACCCCTAATGTAGCCAATCCTCCAAGAGCTTACAGTAGCTCTGTGGCCTATTATGCTAATGAGCTCCTGCTATCCCATGCATAATTTTGTAAACCTTGATCGTGTCACCCCTCAGTTGTTGTTTCTCCAAGCTAAAGAGACCCAACCTCTTCAACCTTTCTTTAAAGGAAAGTGTTCCATCCCCTTAATCAGTTCAGTTGCCCTTTTCTGCACCTTTCCCAATGCTATAGTATCTTTCTTGAGGTGACCAGAACTGTACACAGTATACCAAATGAGGCCGCACCATCGATTTATACTGGGGCATTATGATACTGGCTGATTTGGTACTCATTTGCATATTAAGCGACACACTCCTAATGTAGCCAATCCTCCAAGAGCTTACAGTAGCTCCTATAAGAAGAGCTCTGTAAGCCCTTGGAGGATTGGCTACATTAGGGGTGTGTGGCCTAATATGCAAAAGAGTTCTTGCTACCAAAAGAGCCCTGCCCGGCCCTTCCTAATAATCCCCAGCACAGCATTTGCCTTTTTTTATTGCTGTTGCACACTGCGTAGACATTTTCGGTGAGTTATCTACCACGACTCCAAGATCTCTCTCCTGGTCAGTTACCACCAGTTCAAACCCTATCAACATATATTTATATTTAGGATCCTTGGCTCCAATGTGCATTACTTTGCAATGGGCATTACATCGGCAGGTGGGCGACAGTGGCAAGAGGCTTGGAGGAGAAAGTGTGCAGGATGCATTTCCTGCTTTGAGCCTGCCCCCCCTACTGCCCGGCTGACGGAGGGATCAGGCCCATAGGAGACTTGAAGAGGATCAGAGAGGCGATGGTGAGGAAGAGGGGCAGGTGGCAAGGAGGGGTTGAAGAAGGAAAGGAGAAAGAGAAGAAAAAGAAAGGAGGAGAGATTGGATTTATACCCTGCCCTTCACTACCTGGAGGAGTCTCAGAGCGGCTTACCAACTCCTTCCCCTTCCCCTCCCCACAACGGACACCCTGTGAGGTAGGCGGGGCTGAGAGAGCTCTTTCCAGAACTGCTCCTGAGAGAACAGCTCTGAGAGAACTTGTGAATGACCCAAGGTCGCTCCAGCAGCTGCACGTGGAGGCGTGGAGACTCAAACCCGGTCCCCCCAGTCCGCGTTCCTAACCACGACACCAAACTGGCAGAGGCCAGTGGACATATCGGATTTCCCTTCCTCGTTGAGTCCCTTGTGGTTCCCTGCTTGTGAGATAATAATAGTAATCATGCCAAGGACCCTCTTCAGACCCTGCCCGGCGTTACCTGTGTTGCTGTGTCGGCGGATGTTGTTGGCATCCCCCTCTGCTGGGTGGAGCAGACTGGAGGGGACCCAGTCCATTTTCTCAGAGACCAGTTTCTTCACTAACCTGGACATGCAAAGAGAAATCGTCACAGTCTCTCCTCCCTCTCTGGAAGCCACAACTGTCATCTTAAAAAACAAAACAAAAAACCCTCACGCAATGATGCCCGTTCCCATATCTGCATGGAGATCTGGCGGGGGTCTGACTGCTTAATGGGGGGGGGGAACACCAGGTCAGCTGATATCTTTAATTTTCATTAAAAGCAGCTGTGCGGTAGGTGGAAGGCATGAACTGAACAGGAGCTACAGCACTGGGGCAGCTGAGAACTCTAAGAACACCGGAAGAGCCCTGCTGGATCAGACCGGTGGTCCACCTAGTTCGGCACCCTGACTCACACGGTGGCCAACCGGTTCCTCTGGAGGGCCCACGACAGGGCAGAGAGGCCGAGACCTTCCCCTGATGTTGCCTCCTGGCACTGGTATTCAGAGGCTGACTGCCTTTCAATGTGGAGGTTCTCTAGAACAGGAACCATCCACCCTAATCAGCTGGGAGCATTGTTCCCTCTAAGCTGAGTTAGTGTGTGCTAGCTCACAGTTTTTTAGCCTCCAGCTCACACATTTTTGTCTTGGCTCAGGAAGGATGGCTCCAGAGCCCACTAATTTATGCAGCAGCCAAATCGCTCGCTCACAATTTTAATGCCAGTGGCTCACAAAATAGAATTTTTGCTCACAAGACTCCATACCTTAGAGGGAACACTGGCTGGGAGGCCAGTAAATCCCTGGAGGGGTTATATCCAGAAAACACTGTGGTAGAGAAGAATTGCTTGGGTGGTTGATAATATGATTAGGTAAATGGCATGGGGCTGGGGCATTTAACCTCACACCATGCACCTTATCCAAATTGCCCTTCTTCAACTGGTGGAGTGAGCGGCTCAGCATGCCTGGACACTAGGGGGCGCTGCATCACTCTAAGTGTGTATAGGTGTTATCTCCTTGAATGGGATGCCTCTCTTTGTCTTAACCTCGGAGCTGCCCTCTGGCCCCTCCTCTCTCTATTGCTTTGTCCTCTCCCTGTCTTTACATGACCTTCCGTGGAGACGCATGTCTCTGCAGGTCTCTCCCGGGAGATTTATTTACTGCACTCAGTATCACGCTTTTAAGACTGGGCAAACTCTGCTACATTAACCAGATATCCCAACCGAAACATACAGAGAGCTCCATCATACCCGGTTCCTCCCCTCCCCATCCGAAATAACAGCTTGAAAGTAATCATTTGCAGTGAGAGGACAAGAAAATGCTCCCACTCCCCATTTCCCCCATCGAGCTAGCAGCCCACCCTCCACCCAACGCACAGATGCATTTCGTACAAAACAGCAGCAGATCCATTCCCAGATCTTGCAGCATAACACGGACTTTGTCCTTAATTAGGTTAGAGAAGTTAATAGGGGACGAAGCGCTCTTGGCAAAGAGGCACTCCAGGGCAAGAACAGCGCGATAATTGCATTCAGAGAATGCTGATATCTTCTTTAGAGAATGCTGACATCTTTCATGGGTCCGGCATACCTGAGGGACCGCCTTTCCCCATACAGGCCCCAAAGGGCACTTCGGTCGGGGTCACAACACCGCCTAGTGACCCCGGGTCCTAAAGAGGCCAGGCTTGCTGCCACAAGGGCCAGGTCCTTCTCGGTGGTGGCTCCTACCTGGTGGAATGAGCTCCCGGAGGAGATCAGGGCCCTGCAGGACCTCTTACAGTTCCGCAGGGCCTGCAAGACGGAGCTCTTCCGCCAGGCTTTTGAGTAGGAGCCGCCGCCACCACCACCGCCGAGTAACTGCAGAGCAGGACCACCGGGTTGGGCCGACTGGCCACTTGGAACATCTTGGCCCATGGCATCCCCCCTCTTTGACCCCACCGCGATATACAATAGGGAGTATTTTAGTTCCTAATGTATCCTGCAAGATGCGAGTTTTTGTTTTAATTGTTTTAACTTGTCCTATTTGTATTGCACTTGGCGCCTTAACTGTTCTAATCTTGTTGTATTTTATTGCACAGTTGTGCCTATGTAAGCCGCCCTGAGCCCGCTTGCAGGGAGGGCGGGGTATAAGTGAAGTAAAATAAATAAATATAAATGTGCTGAATCTCGAATTTTCCATAAATAGCATCATAGGGGCTGTGCATATATTAATTTTTCCTCAGTATCCAACTTAGGGTAGGGGGCAGCTACTGGAGATGTTCCGTCTGAGAAGTGCCATCTGGCCCCATCCATTTGTCAGGGAGGGAGATGGCCTCTGTGGTATCAGAAGATGAGCCAACAGCTCATGAGAAGAAAATATTGGATTTATACCCCACCCTTCACTACCTGAAGGAGTCTCAGAGCGGCTTACAATCTCCTTTCCCTTCCCCTCCCCACAACAGACACCCTGTGAGGTAGGTGGGGCTGAGAGAGCTCTCTCTCGAGAACTGCCCCCTGAGAGAACAGCTCTGAGAGAACTTGTGACTGACCCAAGGTCACCCAGCAGCTGCATGCGGAGGAATGGGGAAATCAAACCCAGTTCTCCCAGATTAAAGTCCGCATTCTTAACCACTACAGCAAACTGGCTCTCAGGGAGAGTGGGGCCCCCCGGACCCCTCCCTCCCTTGCCAGTCCAAGGCCTCAACGCAGCAGCAGGAGCAAACAACAAATAATAGCAGATGATGATGATGATGAAGACGACGAAGACGATGGATTATCACACAGGCCGCAGAACGTTGCACTGTTTCCCTCCGTTTTGGATTCTCTGTTCCTCTGGCTTTTATTTCTCCAGGTGTATTTCAACAGCCGTGTTTTCAAGACCCTTGCCGCCGTCTAGGTGTGGTTGACCCCCTCTTCTCTGTGGGGCTCCCCCCCCCGCCAGCTGTCCTACTTACCATTGACCATCTTCACCTTCCTGGATGAACTGCACCAAATCTCCATCCTCTAGCGTCAGGGAATCGGGGAAACAGGTGTCATAACTGCCTTCTACCCGGTAAAGATTGGACCCCTGAAAGGAATGAGACGGAGCATATGCAGTTACTGCAGAGGTAGGGCAGAGGGCCGGGGGGGGGGGAGAGACAGTATTCCTCTAGGAGGCCCCAAGGGATTCATATCAGACAGAGCAGTTTAAACAAAAGCCAGCCAGTTTCTAATCCAGCGGAAGCTCTATAGGAAGGACAGCGGTTTGATTTGCTGTGGTAGGCCAATCAGGAGGGTGGGTTCCAGGCCCGTAGCTACGGTGGGGCATTCTGGGGCCCCGCCCCCTTAATTGAAAGCCCCGCTCCACAAACAGCCATGCCAGAAATCTTGTTTTTGACCATGACCTAGGTGGTATACTGGGCGAGCAGAAAAGGAGATTGTTGGAGATGTACTGAAGGTGCCCTTCTAAGCTTTCTTGCACCGTGGAAGGGAACTCAGAAGGCTTTTAAATGCCTTCTGAAGAGAATTAGAAGCCCTCTGAGCTGTTTATTCCTAGGAACTGATGCACTCGTTGCCCTGTCCCTTGAAAGGAGAGGCTAGCAACAGACTTGGAGCCTCCCCCTTTAAAGACAGGCATTCAGGTTAATTTAATTAACTGTAATTTAACTGCCCCCCTTAACATTTTAAACACAGGGCCTGGTGGGTTCTATTACAGAAAGGCCCTAATTCTTGGCAACGTCTTATGTTTAACCAGACAAGAGAGAAAGAGGCAAAGCAAAACCTCTCCTACAGAATGAAGAAGTCTGCAAGACTCCAACCTTATGGACTGGGACTTTTACCATCGTCCTTATCAGAGGTCTTTTCGTAGAAAAAGAGCTGCAGGAGCTCATTAGCATATGGTATGCTAATGAGCTACGGGGCTATTAGCATAATAGCTCATTAGCATATGCAATGCCCCCTGGGGATTCGACCCTGGCTCTCCCAGGTCCTAGTCCAGCCACTCTTCACCACCACACCAGAGAAAGCTGGGATGACCCTCAACCATTTAAAAAGGCAATAATTGGGATGCAAAATGCCTGGATTTTGTCACTCCCAAAGGTGACATTTTGAAATATCTCCCGTGTGGCCCGTAGCTACAGCGGGGCTGTTGGGGGCTCAGCACCCACAAGATTTCCTTCTGAAAATGGTAAGGGATTTCACTGGATTAGGCCGGGTAACGATGGGTGTGTGTGTTGCTTTTTCATTTAATTTATGTCTGGGGTGGCTGTTGTGGGGCGTGTCTGTGCTGCATTTAATTTAATTTATTCCTAGTATTATTGTATTTATTATTACTTACAAGTACAGTTGCTTAGAGACAAACAGAAAAATAATGGTGAATAACGGCAGCCCCACCGGAAAAACGTTTGCCTCGCAAGCCACAAAATCCTGGCTAGGAGCCTGTTTCCTGCCCTTTGGGAAAACCCAAAAGCAAACATCCTGCAGGGTTTAGGCCCAGGGTGGAGCAGGTTCACGGGGATGTGGAAAACGGTGGTGTGACGTTTCCAAGGCCATGACGTACGTTGTTTAGCTGGTTCTCTTCCTCCATATCCGAAGAGTTCGACAGCTCCTCTGCGCTGGACGGGATGGCTTCGAAATCCTCAAACGTATCTAGCGAAGGCATTTGCCTGCTGGGCCAACCTTTACAGAGGAGACAACATGATTGGTGTTAGCTCCTGGACCCAATCGGGACCGTACTTTTACCACCGTGCAGGAGTTTTGCCCCTTGAAATCCATTGCCTGGCAGAGACTGGCTAATACGGGAACACATTTATTTTATCTATGTATTTCTTATATTTGTATCCCGCTCTGCCCCACTATCGTGAGCCTCAGGGTGGGTCACAACCTGTAATTTATTTACTTACTTATTTTTCCAATTTATACCCCTCCCTCCCTTCCGAGGCAGGCTCAGGGCGGCTTGCAGGTAAATAAATACATAGATAACAATTACGTTACCATAAAAACATCTAAAAACAGTTCATTACAAAACAGTGCGGTATCATAAAGTGCTAGCAGTGTTGCTTTAATTTCACAGCGATGGCGTCACCGTAGGAGTGCATTCAATAGATTATCTAGATGTTCGGCTCGCTGATCTTTCCCAGATATAATTGGCAATTCCAATCGTTTACAGTTTATCAGACGGCACATAATAACACCATGACACTGACCCAGGGAAAGAAAAGGGGAGGAGGGAACATAGAGAATCACAGAATTTACCAGCAACCACGTCGATCACGTTGGGGGCGTGGCCCCGATCGTCAGAGGGAAAAACTATGGCTTTCCCTCCGACGATTGGGGCCACGCCCTCAATGTGATTGACGTTGCGCGTCACTTCCGGTGACAGCTCCCGGAGCCCAGCAAGGCTCCCCCACCGGTAAGTACTTTACACTTGGCAAACCTACTTTTCCCCCCAGAAAGAAACTCCAGTGGAATGAAGGGTTAACGTTTCCCTCTCTTCCCACACAATTCTCCTCGGTGATAAAGCAATCCCTGCAGCTAAGTTTGCCGAAGAAAAAAAGGAATTTAAGATAAACACAGGTGAAACTGAGCCCTAAATGCAGAAGGTCCCAGGAAGGAAAGCTGCTTGTACTGGCATAAATCTCAGTGAGAGGAATGGGCCTGCAGATCCAGCCCTCTATGGCCAGTGCTTTTTGTCCAAGAACTGGGTGGAAACAATTTAGCATAAGCGACATACTTTAGCAAGAAAAAAAAATTACCACCCATCAAAGCTGCGGATTTTGATATGAAAAACTGAATTCAGCTCATCCCTCTGCAATAAAAAGAGGTGCTCGTGTGAGATTAAAGGCATGGGAAACTTGGGCAACGGGAGGGCGAACAATTACGTTTGCTGCTTCTATCGTCCGCCACTCACACCAGACATTTTGATTTGAAGCTGTGACCTCTGAGTGGAGGAGACTGTCTGAGGGGAACCCGGAAGAGCTGGACCTTATCCTCTCAACCATATTCCGGGCTCATACAAAAATATATCACAACATTCCCTGGTTACAAATATGATTTGCCCACAAACGTTTTACCAGCACCCAGGGCTATTTTTGGGCAGGAACGCACAGGAACGGAGTTCTGGCTGGCTCCCGAGTTGGCCACACCCAGCAGGAACTCATTAGCATAATAGGCCACACCCAACAGCAGAAACGCATTAGGATTGGCTACATTAGGGGTGTGTGGCCTAACATGCAAAGGAGTCCCTGCTACAAAAAAGCCCTGGGTTGTTGTTGTTTTTTGGTTAAAAACTTTTATTTTTCTTGGAAGTAATAACATGTTCAAAATATTTTCCATTTAACCAAAACCTTTTGTCTTCCCACCCCTCCCTCCAGTGGCTTCCCGCAATGCGTCCCCCTTGTTCTCTTTCACTCCAGTATATCTCAAGATAACACATTTTAGCTTAATATTGTTCTAGACAATAAATTTTGTTTTACATCCCAGTTTTTCTCTAAATACGTTTTAAAGTCATTCCATTCTTCAAAAAATTCTTGGTCTTCTTTGTTGTTCAATTTTCTCGTAATTTTGTCCATTTCTGCCATGAACAGAACTTTACGTAACCATTCGTCTATTTCTGGTATTCTCTCTTGCTTCCAGCATTGTGCATACATCATTCTTGCAGTTGTTATTAAATACCAAAGCCCTGGGTTTTGACAACAAACAAGGTCAACAGAATAAGAAGCAAAAGGTGGGTGTGTCTGGATGACCACACTTCTGCGAATATGGGGTGTGTGGCCTAATATGCTAATGAACTGTGCTGTCAGGGGTGTGTCCTAATAAGCAAATGAATTTCTGCTGTTGGGTGTGGCCTATTACGCTAATGAGTTCCTGCTGGGCTTTTTCTACAAAAAAAGCCCTGCCAGCACCTGATGACTCTCATCACCTTACAAAAGATTCCCTGCCTGGTCGCTTGGAGGCAGTGCTTATTCGCCAGAGGTGATCAAGCAACTGGCTACTGGCCAGGCAAGACATGGCTAACATTCCACACACACCTGTTATGGCTACACACAGGGCCAAATTACCCAGGGTGCCTGACTATTTCTCCTTGACGTTTGTTTTTTAAAATGCAGTCTCAGAAGCTGCTGCCAACGGAGTCTGGAAACAGAAGCAGAGAGGGTTCGGAACCCTTTCCCCTTATATGATCTCTCTCTTTAAACAAACCACTCTCCCCTCTAAACTGCTTCTTTTTCTGCGAGGTAGAAGATACAAGCACCTGTGTTCTTTCCCACGCAAAGCAAAAAACAAACAAAACCCAAGCCAAAAACAGCACAAGGTGGCAATTTTTAGCAATAAATATGGAGCAAGGTTAAGAATCTCTTCCTTATAACGATAGTTTACTGCTTTTATAAGCCTGTAGCCTCTGTTGCAGCATTTTGGAAAACCCAAAACATCAGTGAGATATTGTTGGCCCTCATGTTTAGCTGTGAAAAACATTTTTATAGTCGTGCAGAAATGTAAACAATTTCGGTCTTTCAAAAGCTCGCCCCGCCCAAAGCATCCTTACCTTCCAAATACTTATATCTCATTACCGTTCTCAGAAGATCGGTTAAGTATTTCTGCTACCAAACTCCGCGGGGCCCTCACTTGAGAAAATCTTTAATCTTTTCAATAGAGCAGCCCACCAACAGGATAACTGATATCACACCATAATGCTTTGCAGAATAACTTGGGCCCCAAAGAGACTGCAGTTCGCGTTTAGAATACCGAGAGTAGAAAAAGAAAAGTACATGACGACAGAGGGCTGAATGCAAGCGCAGTAGAAGTAGGGGTCATTTCCTGCTGGAGCGTGGTGGAGCAGTGCTTCGGCAGTAAGGAGCCCCCCCCACGACCATTCCTGGCCCGCCTGTGCGGGTGGACAGGCCAGGGAAGGCCTGAAGAGCCCCCCGCCTCCGGGGGGGATTTAAATGCCCCAGATGGGGAAGGGAGAGAAAGGCATTCTAAACATGCCTGCCCTTTGTCAGGGATGTGTGGCATATGCCAATGACTTATGCAAATGAACTCCTGCACCCAGGGGTCATTTCGTAGAAAAAGAGCTAGGGGGACTCATTAGCATAACTCATTAGCATATGCCACACCCCCTGACATCACCGGAAGTGTGTCCTCCCCACAGCCGGCGGCGACCTCCAGCGGGCACCAGCAGGGAGCTCCAGGCCCCGCCCTCCCGCACCTCACCCGGGGGGATGGCGTCCCCCCGCGTACCCCCCCAAATGACCCCTGCCTGCACCTCTTTTTCTACAAAATGACCCCTGAGTAGGAAGTCATGTTGGAGGAGTAAAAAGGGGTTCTGTTACGACTTAAACACTTTGGGCATGATCCATGGAGAAGTTCTCTGGTACAAGCCCCAGGGAAATGAGTAGATGCTATGTAAGAGCCTGGAGCTCCCATGGATTTTTCTGGAATTAGCGCAGAAGGGTTTCTTGGTGAACTGTGCCCTGAGTCTCCAGGTATGCTCTGCCCAGCATGAGGAATGCATCTCCAAAACCAGGTTCTTATGCCTTTTACCTGTCTGCGAAGCTGATCTAGGTACCGATCTTGTGGAGGGAGCGACGCTGCATTTGGCTTGAGCCAACAGGGTTCTCTCAAAGGCATCTGTGATAGGAAGTAGGGATGATTTATGCACACGGGCTAGCTGGGATCCAGCTTAGAGACGACAGAAAGAACATGCAACCCCTTCCGGGTGGTCTTCCTCGCTAAACGGGCTGGGAGATCTTATCCTGGGCTCTGGGTGTGTTTCAGTGTGCAATGGAGCCAGTCTTGTCTGAAGTGATGGGAGGGCTCCTTTCGAACGGCGGTGGAGATACACTTGAGGCGGCCCTGTTAAATGAACACAGGAAGCTGCCTTCCGCTGAATCCGACCCTTGGTCCATCAAGGACATCAGTGGCTATTAGCCACAAGGTATAGATAGGGGCTCTGTGGCAAGTGATGCTCTGTCATCTTGGTGCTTGGGGGGGGGTCAACAGTGGGAGGGCTTCTAATGTCCTGGCCCCACTGGTGGACCTCCTGAGGGCACCTGGTATTTCTGGCCACTGTGTGACACAGAGTGTTGGACTGGATGGGCCTTTGGCCTGATCCCACACTGGCGTCTCTTATGTTCTTATGTTCTTATGACAGTATGATACGTTTGGTAGTTAGCTGATTTGAACTCAGCGTTATGATCCGCTTCTCTAATGCAACGTCATAGAGAAGTATTTTTGTATGATGTTCTATGCATCTTCTGTGTTCAATATTTCACTTATCGCACGGTTGTACGAGACCGATGTCTTTCTTGTTTTGTGTATATGATGTAATAAACTCAAAATTTTAAAGGGGGGGGGGAGGACAGTATTGTCAACTCAGGTTGGCAGTGGCTCTCCAAGGTGGCAGGCAGAGGTCTTTCACATCACCTGCCACCTGGTCCTTTCAACTGGTGATGCCGGGGATTGAACCTGGGACCTGGTTCTTTACCATTGCTGGCCGGAAATCTCTGCCCCTGCCAAAAGCATGCACCAAAAAGCATTTGGAGATGGGTGATCCACCATGTTTACTATTCTAATTTCCCTCATAAAAGGGGTAAGGTGTGTGTCGTATGGTGGGGATCGGTCCTGAAAGGAACAAGGTCTCACTTTAGAGCCGTTGAGAGAAGGAAGGCTCAAATGGGCAC